CGTTCTATCGTGAGCAAGTACTGTAGCCCGTGCGTTTCAGCATGCTGGAGTGTCAATATTGGAGTCAGCCGTTCGACGTGAAATCTTGGATGGAGTCGCATGCTGGACGGTAAGTCCAACGTATACGCGTTGCCATGCCGCTCAAGTACTGTGAACGGACCGATGAAGTGCGGAGATAGTTTGCTTGCACCGAATTCAGAGATCGCATGTCGTGGTAAATTCTGCGTACCTAACAGAACTAATGAATCATTTTTGAATTCATATGTGTTGCCTCTACCGACATTGTCTGCGTTCAGCTTCTGCTTGCCTACATAAGCTGCTATTGCGTCCTGGACAAACCGTATTACGGCTTATCGGCGCTGGACAAAGTCCAGAGGTTGCGTGCAGAATGGCTTGTTCAGCACGGCTTCCTTCTCCGCAGCAGACCCGGCCTGGGCATCGCTTGTGCCCCGCAGAACGGTAGCCATCTCGCCATTCGTTGCAAGATGTGCGGAGTCTTCACTGCCGTTCGCAGTGAAGCGTGGTCGATGTAGACCACGAACGGTCTACTCCCAAGTACATACACTCGGAGCTTCGCGAGTGCCTACTTCATGGCAAGGTGCTTTTTGTCATGTACAGGGTAGTTACGTTCAGCTGGCTTCAGCTGACGCGACTGGTAGTAGACCACACGATCACGGCCCTCGTGATCGTGCTGCATCAGCGCACATCCAATTGCAAAATAGGACGCGCCACACACGATGTGGAATGGGCGATCTTGGTCAGCCACTGCCAAGATCGGCGTCTCAGTCAAGACCTGCTTGACTGTATCGAAGGCCTGCTGACACTCAGCAGTCCAAATCCTCTCAGCCTCGTTCTTCCGAAGCTGCGACAACGGGCGAATCTTGCCCCCGCAATTCACGACGTACTTGCACGAGTACGTTGCAGTCCAAGAAACTGTCTAAGGACCTTCGCGTTGGATGGCGTAGGCCATTCATTGATCACTCTGACCTTTTCTGGGTCAGGGTGTACGCCGTTCTTCCCGACGAGACACCCAAGGACGGGCATCTCGCTCGCCCCTTTTAAGATACATTTCTTCAGGTTCGCATAGAGCTTATGTTTACGCAGCCCTAGCGGTTGACAGAGGTGCTTTTTGGGCACCTCAACGTCAGTCTGTAACACATCTATTGAACGTTGCAAGGGCGTTCTTCAGTCCATGTGGCATTACGAGCCACACCCAAAGCATACCTCTCGGGGTGCTCACCGCCGTGAGAGAGATTTCTCTCTCACGCATCAGGATCTGATAAAACCCGTCGCGCAGATCAAGAGCATTATAGATGGTGCTCCTGACCATCGAATCTATGATAAGATCTTTTCGTGGTATCGGCGCCTGCGCCGGAATCGTCGCATCGTTCAGCTTGTTGTAAGCATGAACGATGCGCCATTCGCCGTGTGGCTTCTTGACACAGAACGTTGGTGCGCTGTGCAAGGTCTTTGATTCCCGCATTAGACCTGCTTTATGACGAGTTTCAAAGAAGTCGTCGGTTGGCTTTACTACATCTCGCGGCAGTGGCCACTGCCGCGTCACACAGTACTTCGTACCCGGTACGAGGTCGTTCTCGTGCTGAATGCCCCTGTCCTGCGGAAGTTCCGCAGTAATATCATCCAGGAGCTCATCATCCTTGTCCTCCTGCAGAACATCATAGAAGGGACTCGACTTCAACGAGTCCCAGCTCTGCTCATAGAAGCGCTGCTTCTTTGTCTTTGCGCTGAGAGTAGTTGTCTTAACTTCTCCGCTATGCATCCTGTCGATATCCGACAGGATGCATATCTGTTCGATACCTCCATCGTGCAGATCCTTCGCGAAGCGCATCCAGCTCATGACTGGAAGCGACGTCAACTCCGATGCACCTGCCGGAGGATTCTCCAATTGCATTGGCCGGTACTGGAGACCAGCACGGTTCCGCGTTAAGACGTTCAACGTCTCGACGCACGACGTCTTCTCCGATGTCTGCCCGGCGGACATCGCTCGTATCGCCTCGGTCCCGGACCGATACTTGCGCAGCTTTTGTCGCTTGCGCCGCCCTTTGTTCTTGTGAAGCCCGGCTTCAAATGTTTCTCGTCCAGCCTCGGCCTTGAACGAATTTCCGTTGTAGTCGTCGACGGATTCTTTCCACGGACGCGAATGGTCAAGCCCGGCTTGATTACATTGCGCTTCGTTGTGCAGCCCGGCTGCACGCGAGCACGCAAGCGTTTTCAGTGTTAAACGTTTTCAACCGCCAACACTGCTTGCTCAGCTCCAGGAGCTGACGCGCTGTCATCACCTCGACGCCTTTCGGTGGAGTCCCCTCACGATGTTTATATCGAGTTTTGTGTCGACTCCCGCGGTCGACACGTCCTTGTCACCTCGACGCCTTTCGGCGGAGTCCCTCGTGATGTTCGAACCAATTACGACTGTGTCAACCCCAGGGGTTGACACGCCGACATCACAGTTACTGCTTGTAGCTGGCGTCCCTTGCATATCTGATGCGTCAGGCCCCGGGACTGACGCACCACCGTCACAGTCACTGTCTGTGACTTGACGTTCTTCCATACTTGATCGTATCAACTGTGGGAGTTGATACTGTCTCAAATCCAATTTCAAATTGACAGCGACTGCCTCAGCCGTTGCAACTGTGAATGGGCACCGGAGGCTGCAGCGTAAAGTGCTGCTTCGATCGTGGGATCGGATGCACCTTGCGGTGCTTGCGCAACACTGACAGGGTCATCGCTCTCTGTCGCATTGCGGCCGAGATGTACAAATGTACACTTCTCCCAGTTGATCACTGGATCATGCTGAGCAAGCCACGGCATGCCCAATACCAATCCAAACATATCGTCCAGATCTAGGACGGTAAAATCCTCCACAAACACTCGGTGTTTGTACGAGAAGCGCACGCGTTCTGCGTTCTTACGGTGGTACCTGTTGCCAACCGCATCTCCAAAACACTTCGAGGTGTTTTAACTTCCTTAAAGGTCAGCTATGGGAGCCTTTCTAGTCTAACAAAGCTGTTCAGCGCACCTGAATCAACCAAAGCATGAAGAGAGCCTACGTCACCTTCAGGATGACAAGATTGGGCTTGCCATCTTGCTTTTTGCAGCGAGAATCCCTCTCGCTGGGGGCTGCGGTCCTCAGTGTCGAGGGTCCGTTGAAGACACGGGTGACTGCAATACCAGTTGGGCGCCCTGTGCCTACTGGTTCTACACATTTGCTACGTGGCCGAGTGCACAGGCGCTGGGCACTCACGCGCAAAGTGTCCGGTGTAGCTACATCGGTAGCACGGCACTTGTCCCCCAATACGCTGTTGGCGTCCAACTGCGGAGGCATTCGCGAGGTCCATAGGCTCAGGACCTCCCGCTCTCATCATCCTACGTGCCACCACCGGTACGCTCGCATGCAGCTTAGCCTGCTTCAGGCTAAACCCCTCTTGCATAGCAAGGGCAATCGCAGCTTCGAGAGTACTTGGGTACTCTCGGAAGAGATAGAGCTTAACAGACCCAATCTTCAACTTTTTCATGAACATGACGACCTATGTCGCCTCGTCGGTCGGATTGATCACGATGTTCGAAACCAAGTACCGCGCACGTTGGGCGTAAGCATGAACGTCATGCTTACCTCGCTGCAGGCCGAGAAACTCTGCTCTCGACCGGAGCTCATTCTGAAGGGGCTCAAACGCTTGTCTGAGCTAATATCGCATACGTGCTAAAGCACGTATGATCTGTGAGCCGGCGGCCATACGCCCAGCTCCTCGCTCGTCCGCCAAGACATGACATGGCGAACGCAACCTTCGATGGTTCGTCAGCGATAGGACGGGCCGTAATGGCAGTGTCGAGTTCGACAAACCATCGGAGAAGAGGCTCGCCCTCTTCTCCACATAGCTGCTCATGTTCAGTTTCAACGACTGCACGCGCGTGTCGGCCCGGACGATACTGTCGTAGCAGCAGCAGCAGCGCGCTGCTCACTCACGATGAATTCAAGAGCAAGAGCGTGTTGCTCTGTCGGCGACAGCGAACGTAGCATTGTCGCTACGGCTGCCTCTCCAATGAATGTTGACAGTCTTTGGGGAGCTTCCTGCTCTGGATCCGCCAGATGGGAACAGTCTGCACGCACAATGTACATGGCAGAAGCACTTGGGATACGCATGGACTGTAATCCGTCTATGGGCTGGTTCTCCGCCCCGTGTTCGTTCGTATTTTGTACGAACTCGTCATTTAGTCGGTCGTTGGACGGAGTACAAAGAGCTACCAGGTGTAATGGGCCTACGCTAAGCCCACTACTTCGGCTTACACGTTTGTGCACGTTTATGAGGAAGCGTAAGATGCGTTTCACTTAGATTAGCTATACGTTCGTCCGAAAGTATAGGTTTACTTATATAGGAAAGCAATGTTGATTTTCGGTAAAATTGAGAACTGTTTATTTGTTTTGTTTGGGTTTTCCTCCTAATCTAATAATCTAAATGAACGGTGTTTGCCAACGAATGGTTGATAGAATCCTACAATTCTAATTGGTTAGAGATATTGATTTTTAACCAATGAATGCCCTTAATGCAGGCAGACCAATAGTGTGCCAGATGTAACAGTTGGTGTATCTCACACCAACGTGGAAAACCTCATTCGTAAGCAAGTGGCTGCATGTAGCCACTTGCGTGTAACCCCTTTACAGCCGGTCTCTTCACTAAACTCAACCATCCACGTTTTCAAACGCTGCGCACTTGTACTAGATTCAGTCGATTTAGCCATGAGTGTACGCACAATGGTTGGGTTGCAGTCTGAATTTTCGGTAATATTCTACAAAATATAATTCTTGCCTGCGCCTTCCTTCTGTAGAGCATCCACCCTTTGTAGCGCGCTCTCTCCTACTGTCATTCGGTTTGCTGGGTACTGCTGATAAGTTTTCGAATTAAACAAATGGTTGTGGTCCGTGTTAGACTTGTAATACAGACTGCAAAGCGATGAGCTGATTATCAACTTCCCGAACACAAGCGCTAATCTCCACTAAAACCAAATTAGAAGAGCATTGCATATTTTCGATTGTGACTGCACCCGACAGTGCTCGACAGTGCCCGAAAGTGTCCGATAGTATTCGATAGTACCCTACAGTGCCCGACAGTACCCGACATTGTAAGTTGTACCACTCGGTTGAGCGATATTCTTGGCGCGCACTCTTGCCCTTCCCACGAGACTTGTATTTTCCCGCGTGGGTGCACACCAACGCCTTAGCGTACCGCACCCATGTCTCTGGAATCGGGGTTAAATCGGAGCTTGTGCGATGAATAATAGCGTTTCTGTCACCGACCTTCTTGTTTGTCCGAAGTCTGAACAGCTGAGTAGTAATTCGGCTTTTAGATTTACACACCAATAAAGCGTGCTAAGTGGCAAATACCTGGTATGTTTCCCTTTGGTGTGTGTGGGTATACGCGTAGAACGCGTCCCAAGATTCAAACTCTGTGCAATGGAGTGGAGGGAGGGGCCAATACTGGTGGAGAAGATCATCAGAGCGGCTGGATTTGTCTGAGAGCTCCACCGAACTCGATGTCGTGCCTAGCGCAAAATCGCTACCGTCCGTAACATTGTTCTCGTCCTCTATGATGTAGTCGTTGCCGCTCGCGGAATCAGGAGAGAGCCTTTTGCGTGTCGACGGCCTCATCCGCTCCGCTACTCGCATTGCTTCCGTCTATCAGGCCTCTGGGCAAAATTGAGCTGCTTCTAACTGGGTATACATTTATACGTTGATCGGAAACGTTGCAGGACCCGGATAGGGTTGTATCTAGATCGTTCGGGGATTTTTTAACGGCTCTCCTGTCGGGGTTTCTGCAGGAAAAGTCGTAAAGATAGAGCATCCGGAAAAATAGAGCACCAAGAAAACTCTCTATTTAAGGAATGACCAATCAGATAGATTCAGCGAAGTGTTGATGGATCAGGCGGACATCAACTAACGGAAAAGTCGAACTTATTAAAACAAGGTGGTGTGATCACACGGTAGCCTCTGCTAAAACATCTAAGTTGTCATCGACGTTGTTGCCACTTGAAGCGCTAAGATATTGTTGGGTGGTCCGTAGGGTATAAAGGGCCGGCCTTTGTGAAAGCGTTTTGAGCCGTCTCACTCGTGATACACCGGAGACCTTCCATTGCACGCTCAAAGATAGAACGCCTGCGAAACGTCGGATGGTCAGATGGTTGCGACGCGTGAAGCCTTGGCACCACGACTTCTTCGCTTCCAGGGTTTTCGGACTCATCACGACCGGGATCGTCTCCGTGGCAGTCTCGATGAGTGAATCAATGGTGACGATGTGCTCGAGGGGCCGTTCATCTTAAATAAAAAGACACAGTGTGTCCTCAACTAACACTGTCTCTGCAATGCGACCGCTGCCGCTGAGGGTGCGACGGGCGTCGCGTGAGGGCACAGGAGAGAGAGAGAAGCTAGCACGGGCTTCCCGCTGGGATTCTGGTAGTAGACTAGGATGCTTGCGATCCCATTTCTGTAGCGTTGGGCGAGGGATGCCACGCGACCGGGCAAACTTGGCGCAGATCTCGCCACGTGCTCATGCCTCCCGCCAGTCGTTGATGGTCCGCTGTGACGACTGGTGAGAGCACGGCGCAGAGGAACAGCGACGAGGAACGAGTCGCGTGGCGAGGAGCGAAGCGGAGGAGGGCGGCGAGAATCCAACGATGGGGACTCGAAGGTAAGGCGTAGGAGGCTACTGATGTGCCTCGAAGAAGGTAAATTGGAAAGTGAGATTGAAAGGGTTAGTTGTTTGTCGGCTACGAGGAAGTGCTTGTTAGCATTCCCTTGATATCCTATATAAGGATATGTATTTCACTATACTGGATTCTAAGTAGTCCTTGAGTCGAATCTTGAAGTAGCGTAGCGTAGTAGTGAACCGCGGCTCATTTGAACCGGGTCAGAATCTCCATAGCGAATTCAAATGAAAAAGAATGACTGTCATTGAAGTTCCAATTTTGGCAATACTCGTCCAAACATGGTGATTGCCTTCCGGTCAGGCGTGTGTCTGCCTGGCCGCTCATTGGCAACTTAAGAAGACAGTTGGCAGTCAGCAAAGACAAGTAGGAAGAAAATATAAGAAAGTAGGACGCATTGGTACCAACGTCATGGCCATCGCTGGCGGTGACGTTGGTGCGTCGCTACATCCTCCCGGACTTGACGTCTCGTTGACGCTTGTTGAAGTCGGAAACGAGAGCCTTCCAATGGGACACATGGCGGATGTCTTTTTCGCGCTCCCAGGTTGCTTCGTGATCTGGCAATCCGTGCCATTTCACAAGCCATTCAGGTTTGCGATTGAATTGACGGTTGCGAAGAAGCTTCTCGATGATGTGCATCGTTGCGCCAGTGTCGTTGTCAATAATCAGTCTTGAGGCCTTTGGGATAGGACGGATCTTAAAACGCGACGGGTTTTCAACGTAATGTATCAACACGTCCACATTGAACGTGGAGTTCAGACGACTCATGCTTCGCGGAAGATTCAACTTGGCCACATTCGGGCTGATCATTTTCACAATCTCGAATGGTCCAATTTTGCGAGCAGCGAGCTTAGCTCGGTTCCCATCAATGTCTTGATTCACACGGGCGGAAGGAATGCGATGTGTATCCAGCATGACTAAGTCTCCTTCCTTGAACGTGATCGATGATCGCTTCTTGTCATAGTACTTCTTCTGACGTTCTTGGGCTTGAAGAAGATGCTTCTTTGCCAAATCAATGATCTCTTAGCGTTTGTCTTGGAACTGTTTCGCATATTCAACAATTCCACGCTGAATTTGAGTCATGGTACTGGGATTGCGCAAAGGGTTCAACGAATTCCTTTCTTTGCGTCCAGTATCAACTTCAAAGGGCGACATACCCGTAGATGCGCTGACGAGAGTAGCATGAGCATACTCAATCGCTCCGAGATTATCCGACCAATCACGTCCGTGGTACGATATCATGCAGCGTAGAGCGTCTTCCATATTCAGATTCTGGCGTTCGGTTTGTCCATCGGCTTGGGCACGATAGGAAGTTGTCATGTGCAGACGAATTCCCATTAGCTTAGCCAAGGATGACCAAACCTTGGAGACGAATTGGTGTCTAGATCGCTGATGATGATCGATGGTAAACCGTGATGGCGAACAACGCAATGAAAGAAGTGATACGCAGTCTTCTGTGCATCATCAGTCCGGTTGCACGCACGATACTTCGGGCGCTTGGACAACTTGTCAACAACAGTCAAGATTGCATCAAAACCATTGGAATCAGGTAATCCAGCGATAAAGTCCATAGAGACGACAGACCAGCGCTCCTCAGGAATCGGATTGGGAATCATCTTGCCATTCTTGCGAGCATTGCTGTGTTTTCAGCGAGTGCAAGTTTCACAACTTTGCACATAATCGCGAACGTCTTGGTCCAAGGTGGGCCAATGATACCATTGCGAAATGCGAAGGTACGTTCGATGAGCTCCAGGATGAGCAGCAATATTGGAGTCATGGAAGCAAGAGATGATGGAAGTTCGAAGATGATTGTCCCGAGTAAACGGAGCACACAAGCGCATCATCGTCTGATACTTGCGGAAAAGTAAACCATTTTGTTTGACAAATGGTTGTTCCGGGTGCTTTAAACGATCTCCGTAGTCTGGGCAATTGCGATATCCAGCAGCGAACTCTCTGCTAACCGAATCAGACCAACCGAGCGAGCTCCAATTTTGAGCTTGTTAGGTCACATTGGTGGCCACAACAATATTCTCAGCCGCAGCGACGGTACGTGGGGTTTCCACTGGTACATGTCGGTAAGCTTGAGCTAAGGTCGGAACAGGGCGCGTGTAGTAACCAGCAGCAACATCCTCCCCACGAAATTGAGGGCGAGAGGGTGGTCGAACCAAATGTTGGTTAAGACTGCGGTAACTGCAACACGGGTGCTGCTTGACGAGCGGATTTGATTTCCTCAAACGAACGCGTCTGTTTGGACCCCAGCTCCAGACATGTTCTTTCTTGACAAGAAAACCAAGAGGCAACGCAATAATGGCGTAATCACGAATAAAGCGACGGTAATAACCTGCGAGACCCAAAAAGCTTTGTAGTTGCTTTTGGTTTAGTGGCGTAGGCCACTTTGCAATCGCTTCAGTTTTGCGAGTATCAACAGCAAGTCCTTTGGCAGAAATCGTATGGTGTCCAACATCGTTGGGATTCCAAAGAAAGTTCCTACTTCTGGACATCAGCTGTCTCGCTCTGAGTGGGTACGCTCTGGAAACTCGACTTTGCCTATCCGTTGGGTCAACGACTATCGCTATGTGAACTCGCAGTCGATTGTTCCAAAGATCCCACTGCCTCGCATCGACGAACTCTTCGATCAGATGTCTGGTTGTGTCATCTTTTCAGTTCTAGATTTGACTCAAGGATATCACCAGATGCGTATCGCGCTCAAGAGTCGCAAGTATACCGCCTTTCGCACGCACGCTGAAACTTACCAGTGGTGTGTAGCTCCTATGGGATTGGCCGGTATGCCTGGTGTTTGGTCTCGCCTCATGAGGGTACTCTTTGCGAAGTACCGATTCATTGTTGTCAACTTGGATGACATTTGTGTCTTTTCCACCAATCTGGAAGAGCATGTTGAACATCTTCAAACTCTCTTCGAGGTTCTACGTCGTGAGAATTTGTTCTGCCATCTCCCGAAGTGTCACTTTGGTCAGTCCGAAGTTAAGCTTCTCGGCCAGGAGAATCAGAAACTTCGATCCATCCTTTATACAGCTTCTCTGCAACGAAGCGATCCAGTGCATCCTGCTCAGCCTTAGACAGGCGGAACGGAGCACGACTACTTGGAACAGCATCAGGTTTCATGTGGAGTTCGAAATCCACACGACGTGAAGGCGGTAAACTATCCGGTAAAGTTTCCGGGAAGACGTCAGTAAAACGCTTCAATAAGTGAGTGATCGGAACAGGAGTCGACTCACTAACTGGCGTGACTGCACAAATTTTGACACGGTACACTTCCTTGTACACATGTTTCTTCACATTACGTTTAAAGTCAACAGCAGCAATCTCCACAGCTGCTTGACTAGCAACCGTTGATGGAGGTGCACAAGACACACTTGGAAACCGAAATTTCATGTGAACGCCAATTGATACATGGCTGAAACTTGAAAAACCAAGGTTTTTCCAAGATGACATCATGGGCAGATTCAAGTGACCATTCCATAACATGAACTTTGCGGAAACGGTAGCGACCGAATTCAATAGTCGCTTGACCTTTCTTCACAGAACGCGCTTTCGTAGAAGTTCCATCGAATCGAGTGACTTGTGAGACACCAGACGTAGCGGTGTTAGCGAATAAACCTGGGCGAACAACATTGCACGTAGCACCACTGTCGAACATGATGACGGCAGGTTTCCCATCACAAGTCCCTTGTTTACAAATGAGCTCGTTCTCACGATGCATGGACGACAAGGTGGACGTGGAAATCTCTTCCACTTCAGCAACCTCAACCTCGTCATCGGAACGGGTCATAGACGCTCGTTCAGCAGCAGTAGCAGTTGTAGGAGAAGAAAAATTAAAGCTCGCGGCAGATTGCTCGTGACGGTTCTTTCGAGCATACTTCTCCTTGTTCTTCAACTTGAAGCACTGCTCAATGACATGACCAGACTTCTTGCAGTAACGACATCGCTTGTTAGACGACGAAGAAGAAGCAGAGCGGCGATTTCTAGTACTCCCTGAGTCAATTTTTATTGGCTCGGGTTCGTTCTCCTGAACACGCATAGGCGTGGCTTGCTTTTGGTGCGAATTGTTGTTGGACCGAGAGCGTGATCGGTCCTGCGAAAAGAACGGTGGACGATAGTTCTTACCGCGGACATGATGCGGTCGATGTATTAGACGACGAAGAAGACGCAGAACGGCGATTTCTAGTACTCCCTGAGTCAATTTCCATTGGCTCGGGTTCGTTCTCCTGAACACGCATAGGCGTGGCTTGCTTTTGGTGCGAATTGTTGTTGGACCGAGAGCGTGATCGGTCCTGCGAAAAGAACGGTGGACGATAGTTCTTACCGCGGACATGATGCGATCGATCATACTCCAAAGCAATCTTCATTGCCTGCGACACTGTTGTACAGCGACGATATTGCACCTTTTCGCGCGTGGGACTGACTAGTCCACGTGTGAAGTAAGTGAGTTTGTCCAACTCACTCATGTCTGTCACTTGCATGATGGCTTCACGGAAGCGAGATGTAATCTTCCAAGCTAGAGCAATTTTTCTGCTTG